AAAAAAAAAAAAAAAAAAAAAAAAAAAAGACAGAGAAAGTAAAAGAGAAAGAGAGAAAAAGTAGAGAGAGAGAGAGAGAGAGAGAGAGTAAAAGTATTTTAGATCTGGATGAGAACATCCAGAACACTCTGAGAACATCTGGAATGCTCTGTCCCATGTTTTCATTTTTTCTGAGCCCTTGCAGGTCAGAGAAGTTCAGTGACTTGTCCAGAGCCCCAGGTTGAAGGTGGAAATCCCACTTCTCCCTCCAGGCTGTCTTCCACAGACCGCTGCTTGCCTTCGGGTTCCCCTTTAGGAAAGAGAAATGTGTAGGAGGGCTGTGGATGAAGACACTTACATCCATGAAGGGTTTGGGTGGGCGAACGTGGGCTTTTCCACCAAATTCCAGAATTTAAGAGAACTAGGGAATATGCCTTAAATTATTTCTTAAAAATAGATTTGGGACAGACGAGAAGTTCTGATCATAGATTTTAGGGAACATGGTAAAATTTTGACCTCAGAAGCGGTATACCAGTTGGAGAATAAGAACAAGCTATAAAAGATCTAGATAACAGTCGCAGCTATTTAAGAAAGAGTTACTAAGGGAAACCAGAATGACTTCAGTTTACTCTTTTTCTGAGAGAACAACAGCATCCTCAGAAAGCCTTTCATACCATTAACAGATGCGAATCTGGGCTGCTTGGACTATGGGTTAGACTTTCTTAGAAAGCTATAATATGCATTTCCTAACAAAATGTATGCTATTAAATTTTCTTATCTCAACAAAGACTGGTAGATTGTTCCTCAATCTTCCTACCCTTAAAATGGGGATATTCTCCCTCTCCAAGGAACACTGGGAACGAGCAAGTCCTCATGTTAGGGTTCTTTGAGTTTTCATGGAAGCTTAGGTTATTTATATGATGACATCGTTGTCAATTGCTTTCAGAATGGACTTTTCTTTTGTGAATTTGACCTAAATACAATAGTTGCCATGCCTGTCCAGTTTATGGAAGTACCACTGCAGTAGCAGCATTTGTGTGTCTTGGTAAATCATTACCCCTAAAAATGGAAGAGGGAGGAGGAAGGAGGAGGAGGAGACTGTGTTGTGTGTGTTTATTTTGTGTTTGGTGTAAGGAGTGCTGGGGCTAGTCTGTCCGGAGGCTAGCCTACCTTGCTAAGTGGTTTCTGCTAAAGAAAAACCCACTTTCTTATGTGTTCTTGTCACCAAAAGTTAGCTTTTTTAAAAAAACAAAACAAAACAAAACCCTCTTAGCTATGTGGAGATTATTTGGCCTTGGTTAAACATGAACTGTACTGCAGAATTGTTTGTTCAGGTAAAGCAGAGCCTCATTATGGCATGTCATTTACTTCCTACTGTGTCATGGTGCTCATGGGGAAAACTTCGTGGAATATCATCCGTTCCGTGTATCACTAAACCATGTAATAGTGTATACTATGACTAAGGTTTTTTAAGAGAATAGAATTTCAGAGTTAGAAGGAGCCTTCTAAGTGCTTAGCGTTTTCCCTAAGTCCTTTAATATCCTCTTTCACCTTTAAAACACATACAGACAAGTGCACGTGCCACATAAACACAGAGGCTCACCTAGGGCTCTCTTCATTTGGCCTCATGTAATAATTCTTAGTATGTTTGGATACCATCTCCAGTTAATTTGTAAGCTGAAGATTTGCAGTAATAGAAAAGTGCTTTGTAAAACAGGAGTGTAGTATGTTTGCGCTTGACATTTTTTTATTTTGCGCAGAGGGTCTCGATCTGTGCCCAGGCTGGAGTGCAGTGGCATGGTGAAGGTTCACTGCACTCTCAACCTCCCTGGCTCAAACAATCCTTCTACCTCAGACTCCTGAAGGGTTGGGATTACAGGCATGAGCCACCACGTTCAAGAAAAGCTGAATGATTTTTTTTTCTTTTTTGAGACAGAGTCTTACTATGTCACAGCTCAGGATTGATCTCAGCTCACTGCAACCTCTACCTCCTGAGCTCAGATTATCACCCTGCCTCAGCCTTCTGAGGAGGTGGGATTACAGACATGCGCCACCATACCCAGTTAATTTTTGTATTTTTAGTAGAAATGGGATTTCACCATGTTGGCCAGGCTGGTCTCGAACTCCTGACCTCAGGTGATGGACCGGCTCAGCCTCCCAAAGTGCTGGGATTACAGGCGTGAGGCACTGTACCCAGCCAAAGCTGAATGATTTATTCAAGGACACGTAGATCAGATAGTAGAGTTGTGCCTGGAACCTAAGAGTAGTCCTGGTTCCAGATCTAAGCCCTTTCAGCTGTACCATTTTCTTCACCTTAGAGAAATAGGCAGGGAAATATATACATACACACACACACACACACGCACGTATGCATATATCTTTCTTTCTTTGCCAGTTGAAGGTATATTATTTTTAGAGTTTCCTTTAAAAATTTTTAATCAGTGCTGTCCCTTAGAAATACTATATGTGCTGTGTACACAATTTAAAATTTTATATTAATGTTTTTTTAAAAAGCACAAAGAAATAGATTGTGTTGATTTAGTCATTCCACAGGAGACAGTGAGTGTGTGTGTGTGTGTGTGTGTGTGTGTGTGTTTGTCTCAAAACATCACATTGTACCCTGTAAATATGTAAAATTATTAGTATCAATTTTTTAAAAATTGACAGGCAGTAATTTTACATATTTATAGTATATATGTAATATTTGCATATATGGATAGAATGTGTAATGATAAAATCAGAGTATTTAGGTTATCCAGCACCTGAAACATAAATCATTTCTTTTTCTTTTTTTTTTTTTTTTTTTTTTTATTTCTTTTGAGACGGAGTCTTGCTCTATTGCCCAGGCTTGAGTACAGTCGTGTGATCTTGGCTCACTACAAACTCTGCCTCCCGGGTTCAAGCAGTTCTGTGCCTTAGCCTCCCGAGTAGCTAGGATTACAGGCACCCACCACCATGCCCGGCTAATTTTTTGTATTTTGAGTAGAGATGGGGTTTCAGTGATCTTGAACTCCTGACCTCATGATCCACCCGCCTTGGCCTCCCAAAGCGCTAGGATTGCGGGTGTGAGCCACTGTACCTAACACATCTTTTCTTTGTGTTGGGAACATTTCAAATCTTCTGTTTTAAAATACACATGAAATCGGCCAGATGTGGTGGCTCGTGCCTGTAATCCCAGCACTTTGGGAGGCCGTGGTGGGTGGATCACTTGAGGTCAGGAGTTTGAAATCAGCCTGGCCAACATGATGAAACCCCTTTTCTACTAAAAATACAAAAAAAAAAAAACCCAAAAGACAAAAATCTAGCCCGGTTCCATGGCCTATGCCTGTAATCCCAGGTACAAGGGAGGCTGAGGCACGAGAATCGCTTGAACCCAGCAGGCAGATATTGCAGTGAGCAGAGATTGCGCCACGGCACTCCAGCCTGGGCCACAGAGTGACACTCTGTCTTAAAAA